CTTCCACTGACGGAAGAATTCGTTTTCCTTTTGTGGACGCGCCGACCCGCGAGATCGATGCGAGAGAGGCACAACGAGTATGCGGGAAACCAGGCGAGACTTACTATCTCAACGGACTTTCCAATAAAAGTTTAATAATTTGTTGCAAAATGATGAATTCGGACCCGATCGGTCGTTCTCTATATTGCACCGAATAAATTGCAAATGCTATACATTATTAATTAACAATAAATCAGTTGATCGCTCGCTGATTAGGCTTCCCGAGTGATTTACCGCTCAATATATTATTAAGGCTTGGATGGTCAATAAAGAAGAAGTATGTCATATCTGTGATAAATTTTTAAAGTAATGAATCAATTGACAACCAAACGTTACATTATTCATTCAAGTGTCTTTTCTAAAAGCGCTAAGTTTTAAGATTCTCCAACAATTTCCTGTTTCCTTTTCAACACTGGTTTCTTCAGAAGTACCTGAAGTATATCTGAATTATTAGTGTTATCTGCTCTTTTTTTGTCATAGAAATTAGAGTTACAAGAAAGTAGATTTCTTAGAAAGGATTCGCCTTAATATTGTGAGAAAATGACTACGGTCAAAATTGCGGTATTTTGTAAATGCTGATCAAAAGTTTCACAACAACTCGAGTCGAAAATAGATATATTATGTTGTAGTCATTCGAAAATTGCTATTTTGAGTTCAATCAGACGAAAAAGCATTTTTATCTATACTATAATTATTCTTTTAACTGTTTTAGGCAGTCGTATTAGGTCACGATATATATATATAATTATGTGTCTCCATTCCTATACAGCACACTTCATCCCAGAAATCTTCCTGGAAATGTTCTCAGGACGTTCCTTGGAGATTTGCTATATTTTTTATTAAATAGGTTTATGCTGAGTAAGCGGTGAAGATCATGGATATTAACATTCTTCTTTTTTTTGCTTACTAATAAACTTTTGAAAAGTATTGTGATTAATGGTTACTGAGGTTACTTAAACTGTCAATTTCCGGCTTCATTCCCCACTACTGAAAAACATGAAAATATTTGATTTTTCACCAACGTAGATTAACCTACGTCTTTAATCTCGGTTTAACTTATTCTTCGTCTTTTTCTAATCTTTAGAATTAGAAAAAGATGAAGAGTAAGTTGAACCGGAATTAAAGTTAATCTACATTGGTGGAAATGGGCATTATGTATATAATTATGTATATATTAGGTGTATTAGAAAGTTCCGTCCGTTTTTATGCAAAAAGTATGATTATATTTAAGAAACAAGATGAAAACGTACATCTAAATGTTACATTTATAAATTAATCGATATTCTAAATTTGTTTGTTAGTTTCGTTTGTTTATTGCTTCTAAATTGATAAATAAAATGGAAATTGTCTCTGAAGAACAGTTTCGTAGGAATAAAATGTACAGTTTAAATATAATTTTTTTAATTTACTGACACATATAAGTATCGAATAAAGTTAATCAATCCATCGTTAGCGATGACTTTTTTCCATCTTTCGGGCAGTAAGCGAATTCCGCGGCGAAAGAATGACTCATCTTTGGAGGCTATCCACTCAGAGACCATTTTTCGACATCTTCATAAGAATTGAAGTGTTCCTCTGCAAGTGCGTGTGCCATCGATCGAAACAAGTGATAGTCAGAAGGGGCACAGTCTGGTGAATAAGCCGCATGGGGTAGCACTTCCCAGTGAAGTGCTTCTAACATTTCCTTAACGAATTTTGCGAGGTCGTGAAGCAAGATCACTTTATGCTGTCTCATTTCATATTCTGATCGTTTTTCTTGCAATGCTCGGCTCAAACGGATAATTTGTTTTCAGTAGAGATCCTCTGTGACATCCTACCCTGTAGTATCTGTGCAATCAAAACATACAGGATTGTTATCATCTTCGTAAAAAAAAATTATTACATTTATAAATTAATCGATATTCTAAATTTGTTTGTTAGTTTTGTTTGTTTATTGCTTCTAAATTGATAAATAAAATGGTAATTGTCTCTGAAGAACAGTTTCGTAGGAATAAAATGTACAGTTTAAATATAATTTTTTTAATTTACTGACACATATAAGTATCGAATAAAGTTAATCAATCCAGCAAAAAACTAAATCAATTTTTTTGAAATTTTGATTCCTAATTCACCGTTATTCGAAACTTCGAAACAGTCGCGATACCCGGGATGATTCGCAAAAACGTCATCTCGAAAGTCCACGAGATGATTGCAGAGAGAAAAGCGGTGGAATCGAAAGGAAGATCGGTAGGAGTTAACTAGTGCGACGTATTAACTGGCGTACTTATTAGGGAATTGCACTTTCTTTCACAGTTGGCGCGCTGAGGACGGCCGAAGGTGAAGAACGAGGAAACCGACCTCCGGTGCAACGACCTGCCGCGAAGTGTGTCGGTTGTGGGCGCACGCAATCGTCGCAACGATTTTGAAAAATGACCGTCCCACTTCTGCAAGGGAGTACTTTCACGGTCGCTAACCCCGCGACTGAGAGAATCGTGCTGATCTCGCTACCCGCGCTTGTGCGCCATAAAACCGGGTTCACAGACTCTCTAACGGAAAAGACCACTCTTGCTGCTTACCGTAAATCGTCAAGTTTAAATCTCGCTGAACGACGCATCAGCGACAGAAAAAAAGCAGCGGTCTGAGGAACTTCATGCGATCGTAGATCAATTGGCAAAATCGACTGAATCTGATTGTATTTGCATATCGAAGAATGAAGTTGTCAAAATCGACAATAAGTAAAAAAGTTTTTTACTAATATTTATCGATTATAACGGTAATTTAACTGTTAATCTATTTTTCAGGCATAGATTTTAAAGAAAAAATAGAGATTTTAAGAAATCACTCGTATAATTCGTCAAAATACTATTACGATCCAAAGAAAAAAAATCAAATCAAGTAGAAGCATGTCTACTAGAAATATTTTAAATCATTAATTATATTATAATTATAATTTGAGCAACATTAATTTGAGGTAAAGATGCAATAATATATAAATATGCAATCAATATATAAAATATAAAATTGATCATTGAACACAAATAAACAAAAGAAGGTCATATTCAGACAAAAAAAGGTCTTGATATCTAATACTTTTTATGTGATTTTTACAATTTTCAATTCAAGTAAACTGTGCAATTTAATTTGTGATATTATATATTCCAATTTTGGTTTAGAATTGTATTTCACGACAGACAAATAATTGGCACGCAATTTATTTGAACTGAAAATGATAAATTTACACAAAATTATTGGGCATCTATTTTGACCGAAAATATAATCTTCGCAAATTTGTGTTGAACGCGAGGGGTTACTCACTGATGAAAAATGATTTCCTTGCTGATTTTGTAAGTAGCCTCTCGGTTAGCCATTCGATTTTCGAGAATCTCGTTTATTGGTAATTCAGTTGAGTGAAACTTTATACGTAAACAATATTCTCTTACCTAGAAACAAAATAAAAAAATTGTTAGAGAAAAAACAAGATTCAGTAAATTATATTAATAATAATATAGAACATATTATATAACTATTTGCAAAAATAAAATAATAATTATTCTCAAAATATAATCTATCTGTGTGCCTCGATCGTCACATCAAAATAATCATGAACATGAGACTTCGACGAAAATTTTCATATTTCCTCAACACACTCTCTTCTTTTTCTCTCGGCGATTTAGCTGAACGAGCGCACATACCGATTTTTCGTCCTGAGTTGCATCGGATTTCCCTCAGTTTCTCAACTTTTATCCTCGTACGGATCGCCGCGATCCACGGGGCCCACTTTTCACCATGAATTCTCACGATATCGTGCTCGGAAAGTAGCGAAAACGTGTTTGAGGATTTCTTTCCCTTCCCCCTCCCCCACAGCACCTCTTGACACTCTGGGAGGATCAGCCAGTTCGCTTTTGTACAGTCCACCATGCACGAAGAATAAAACTGTCATCTCGAAAGTTGGCCTACTATCTCCCTGATCGCAATAATAGCCCCCGCAGCAGCGAGACGTGTCTTCCTTCTCTCCTCGGAACAACGCGATAGTCTCTAATGCTCCCTGGAAAAATAAAGTTGCTGCGGATCTTCGTATCTTCCATAACCACATTTACTTTTCTCCCATAAATATGGAAAGAAAGATGAAAACTATGAAGAGAGATATCAAGTAAACGACTTGAAAAAATAACTAATATAATCTCATTATTAAATAAAGAATAATATGATTTTTTATCTGTGTATTTATTATATCATAATTTACGCATTCAAAAAAAATATTCTGCCATTTAGTGGTTCCGTGTTAGATTGTTTCGAAACTTTGCGGGGTGTCCCCGTACATTATCTTATCCTTGTTTAACATATGACGTATGTTGTAACAAAATTTTAAGTTGAAACTAGTTTGAAAAAGAAAAAGCGTGGAAAAGCTTTTCCTTCTATTTTTTCAAATTTAAAAAAAAATTTCTTTTTTTTTCAATTTTGCATTTTTTACGCAATAAAATAATATGAAATCATGATTTTATCACGATCTACAATTTTTAGTTTATAAGTAAAAATTCTTTAAAAATAGTCTTAAAAATTATTAAATTAATCAAAGTTTTTAAGACAATTTTTTGAAAAAAATTAAATGTCATACTTTCAAAAATTGATGATTTCTTACTTCAAATTAAAAAAAATTAAACAGAATTTATGAAAATTTTTTAATTTTTTGTTTTTTTAAAAATAGAGAAAAAAAACAAATAATTAAAAAAAAATGTTTTGGATTATTTTCGCAAAGTTATAGGCATTTGAAAATTGGAACTGCGAATTTTGAAAAAAATTCATATCTCATGACTATTAGCGTTTTTCATTGGGAAAACTGATGCAACACTGGTGCACGCTGAGTGCAATTGTGTTGTTCCAATGTGAAAATTTCAGTGTTTAATGTTCCATTGATAAAACTGGTGCAAAAAACTTGCACTGAGTTCAACTTTTGTTCCACTGTCTTCGAAATCAGTGGAGACCAGTGCAAATTGAAATTATATTCGTATTTTAAGGTATAATATTATATTAATAGAATATGATGTTACATTATAATTAATGTTATAACAATGATATTGTTTTAATGTTTCTAATAATAGCAATGCAATGATATTTTGATGTTTAAAACTCTTGAAATGTAAAAATTTAATTTTAGAAAATGTTTTAAATAAATTAATGAATCAGAATATTGTAAAATAAATAATTTAAGTTTGAATATAGTTATATACATTTTTAGGGGTATTATAAAATGGATGTCTAATGATATATTCCATTGAACCGCACACATACTAAACTAGTGCAGTTTTCATCTAAACCTAGCACGGTGCTAGTGTTGCATCAGTTTTCTCAATGGAAAATGCTATATGTTGAAAAAAAATTTTTTTAAATCATGGTAGCTTCTTCCGATGAATACTATATCAAAATTTCAGCCAAATAACATATATATGTATAATAATTTAAGAGTGAATTATTTTAAGCATTAAAAGATTCAGCTTCGACTGTTATAAGTCTTTAATTTCTAATTTGATTGTGTACAATAAATATTACTGAGTCAGTGGATATTCACTAATTGCCCAGTGGCATACTTGACACTATATAATCAGTGAATCAACCAAAAAAGAAAAAATGATTGAACATTATATAACTAAAATATTGATATTTGCACATTAAGTTCAATTAATCTTCCAATACGATATTCATTGAATTTAAGCACTAAAACAAAGTTAATTAGATGACATAATATAACGCTGATTCTACAATGAATCGGTAATCGATAATCCTAAGTTTTATCGGCGAAGTTGACCAATAGCCAACTTATACAACTAAGGCTGACTTCACCGATTAAGGGTATACGGTCAACACGATGCTGTAAACGCTTTAAAGCATTTTTTAGCTGGTCAGTTTGTAAAATTCTTTCTTCTAATTGGTCCATCAAATGCTTTGAAATATTTAGAAGAAAGAATTTTACAAATTGACCAATTAAAAAACGCTTCAAAACATTTGCAGCATTGCATTGACTGTACTCATAGTCAGACTTTGTACTTAAGGCTTTCTTAAATTTATCTTTAGATGCTCAGCAGCCAATGAAATAATTCGTAGAGTATCTAAAGATAAATTTAAAGAAGCCTTAAATATAAAACCTGACTATGAATGCGAGTATAAGACTACTCATTGTAGAATCAGCATAAAGGTTAATTAGCTATATAGGTTAGGAATCTTATATTTAATTCACCGATTAGTAATTACCAGTGACATACTTGATTGATATCACTGATTATCTACTGATTTAAATTTAGAGAGTACATATACATAGATTTAGAGAGTATAAATTACTTATTTTAATTAATAAATTAATCGCTTTTATGTATATTATAACGTGGAAATTACCAAATTTATTCTGAGTTGACCTCGGAGCCGTCTAGCGTCGTTCATATTCGCAATTGATGAACAAATGCAAATGCGTGCAGTTCGTGCCACGTGGTACCTGCCGCTGATACTAAAATATTTGAAAATAACTTCAAATTTGTTCTAGAAATATTAATACCAAACGCAGATAAGATGACATGTAGCAGAAAGATACAAGTTGCCAAACGATTTTTGAGATCGAAAATCGCAAACGGACGCCTTCGATTTGCAATACCGAACGTACTTAATAGATCAGGCTGTAAGAGTAAGAAATTGATCAATCACAGTCGATTATTCTTCTTACATTCAACTGTAATTAGTCAATTTGTTGACTCTTAAGCCGGTTATACATTAGCGTTGATTTCAAAATGCAAACTTCAGATTGGCTGTTGCAACAAACTTTCGATCGGCTTGCAACTAATGTAGAATCAGCTTTACACTCTCATCCACTACTACTACTATTATTGTAGATCACGCATTCCATTTAACGTTTATAACGTTTGCGAACATCATTTCATTCTCGTTTAATATTTGAAAACAATAAGAATGAAATAATGCTCGCGAGCATTGCAAACGTCAAGTAAAACCCTTAAGTCCATTTCTATCAATGTAGATTAACTTTAATCTCAGTTCAACTTACTCTTTTTCTAATTTTCAGAACTGGAAAAAGATGAAGAGTTAGTTAAATTAAGATTAAAATTAAATTATATTGATAGAAACGGGCCTTAAGATCCTTTTCAAATTTCGGTTAAGTTAATTGACGGTTATATGGGATCATATTGGGCTGCGTTCAGAATTATCATCTGGATGCACTCAGATTCTTTTATCCTTGTTTTTGTGAACAACAAGGATAAAAGAAAAACGACATTTGGGTGCATCGGACGATGATTGAACACAGCCTAAGCCGGTATTCATAGTCGATTCTTATTTCAAGAATACTTCTTAACTTCTTAGGTACGACGCGCCACTATAGTGGCTCACTCTAGTGGCTCACTCGCTCACCGTTTGAATTAAATGATCGTTTTTATATGTTTTGTTTCACACTTTTTTTGCCTGCACAGTTTTATAACAGTGTTAACAATATACAAACAGAATATACAGTCTTTGTTTTTGATACGCCAATGTCAGGTATGAAATGTTGCTTTTTATTTAAATAAATAGAAAACAAAGAGCAATTTGTTACAATTCAGGAACAGACTCGGAAATCGAAAATGATATAAACAAAAACATGCGTGGTAGGAAGAATATAAAAAACGAAGATCGCGCTATGAGTATAAAGATTGTGACGTGGATCTATGTGTTGTACCGCTTTAAAATATATCATACTCAATTGTATTATTAATTATTAAAGTATGTGTATCATATCTTTAAGAAAAATTATAATTTAATCATCAAACTTCATTCCAATGTACTCGCGTAGAGAACAACATTGTCCGTCACACGTTGCAGTGCTGAACTGTTTACGCGTAATTCGCGTTAAACTCTGCCTTACAGAGAAACGTTAGAGAAACAGTCCCGCGCAAAATTCAGCTATGCTTAAGAGGTTAAATAATATCTTAAGATGTTAATGCAGCCCTGATTTGATTCGTGACTTATTAAGACCGTACTTAAGACGGTCTTGAATATAAGATCTGACTATAAATACCTTAGGTCCAGTTTCACAACTTATGGTTAATTTTTAACCGAAATTTAAACTAAGTTATCTTGACTTTTACGTGACCAGTGTTTCTCATCTTTCATCTGGTATCATCAGTGTCACTTGGACGGCAGACGGCTTCCCATTAGCCCTAAGACTGCAGCCATTGGTTGTGATAGTAAGGGCCCTGCCCTTAATCAGGTTAATGGTGGAAATATATAAGGCGTGCCCATGATGAAAGTCATGGTGGAATTAAACATGGTGTTGTCCCAAAGATGCGCAGTGGCAAAATACTGACGTCCACGATTTCGCTTCTAAATGCAGCTGACATGAATGTAACGTTTGATGATTCGATTTTATTTTTTCGAGTTTTTATATTTGATAAATCGTATTAAAACACATATTTAATATATTTTACATATTAGAAAAATAAAAGTCGCGCTAACATTTAGGGACGATTTTTGATTGGTCGTGCCGCCATATTATGCGCAATAAAACACCTTGACTTAAGTCAAAGTCTCGCTACAAATGTTTTGAAGCATTTGATGAACTAATTAGAAATACATAGTCGTTCGGAAATACTCGTGTGTACACTAGTATGCACTAGTGCAAGATCGTTCGGAAACGTCGAGAGAGTCACACCGAGTATCTCACACACATTAAACTACCCGTGCGAAAAACAAGTCGATGTATTATGGCTGCAACACAGATTTGCATAATGCATAATGCATAGTGCATAAAGGAATCGACTAATTAAAAAAATAAAAAAATAAATTAATTATAAAATTATTATTATAACTATAATTATATTATATTATTATATTAGGTGCGCAACTAAGTTCCCGCTGTTTGTCAACAGATGGCTCCAGCAGTAAGTGCTGGTCGATTCTGACATAACCTAAACGTCATGAACCAAGCTTAGA